GGCTTTCGTACTGTTTAGTGTGTCATTCCTTCTGGGTTAGGGTCTTCAGGGTCAACTTAACCATTTCTTTATTGAAAGCTGACAAAAAGCCTTATAACTTAAAAAAAACTACAAGTGTGGCGTGTATTGTCAGCTTACAGAAAGTACCATATAAAGACCTCTGACCTCTCCCCGAAGGGCAATTGATTGATCTGAAGTGCAAAGTGATAATAATGCTCTATAGAGTTATTTAAAACTATGTTTCCTATTGCCATTGTTTCCACTGACAACATATAAGAAATGATATAAACTTTATCACGTTACTTTGGACCTCTGACCTCCTCTTCAAGGTCAAATCTTTAAAATTATGCTTAAATTCTACTGCCTTTGTTTGTATTGGCAACATTTAGAAAATGATCCTGGTGTATGGACATTCTAAATATTATATTATGGTTTGTATCCAAATATTACATCACATGTGACCTCTGACCTTCCCTTTTTCAAGTTGTCCCCAATACCCATTATATCTTATAAAGAGAATGTGCTGGCTAGTTAGTGATAAATAAACTGCAGCATAATATTATAATAAGCTCAGGTTATTTACAAATCAGTACTTTATTACCCATTACCTACTCGTGCATAATGTCCGTGTAATCACAGTAAACATGTGTTGAATATACACAAAATACAATAAAGGGTCAGCAGGTTGGTGGCGATCCATGCTTTCCACCACAACAACTCGTGCTTGTTTGTTTGCACCAGTGTGTGACTTCCTCTTATGACCCGGTCTCTCATTGGAAAGCTTTTATGCACTAACAGTGACACCTGTGTCACACCTCCTCCACTCTGTGTACACCCAAGGAAACTGAAAGCAAAGACAAGAGAAAAAACCTTTAAACAACAGCAAAGACTCTCACACTAAGCTCAAATAAAACAAGTTTATATAAACTGAGTGAGTAACATGAACAAAAACACATCATCCCTCCGCCTGCTTAAAACTCCAGTTATGCTTTCCAAAGCACTTCTATACAAACCTCCCTTCTTTTATACTTCCTGTGGTGAGGCATCACAGACACAGCCATCGGAAACTTTACCGCTGGATCGCGAAGACATCCCTGCCCGGAGCGATGTACTGCTCTGTCAGCCAAGACTCTGATTAAGTCTCAGCAGTGGAGTAATGAGCGCAGTGCTGCACTGTGAGACTCTGAGATCACACTGACGCATGCAGACGAGGAGCGGGGGGCATATGTGAGACAGCAGACCTGCGCAACGAGCACGCGCACAGGGATTTGTACTGAGCCTTGCTCTCAGTAGAATTGGTTGCCCTGATTACTCAAACTAAAGCCAAACACTCCCCGCCCTGTCAGCAGCGCTACTGCAGGCCACGGCATGAATAAGACATGAAGAGCTAAATACTAAGAACGGCTGTGCTGTGTGGCAAATCCTGTTGTCTGTTAAAATAAGACACAGTATGCAGATGAAAAAAAACAAACAGCCGCGCATGCAGACTCCTGCAAACAAGTCTCGCCACAGGAAAAGTGCATGTTTGCATTTGACATCATTTCCAGTCATCTGGTGAAGCGACACATGTGATGAGCTCCACTTGTTTCACACGGTTTGGCTAAAACACTAAACGCTCTCACGTAAACAAAGGCTAAATCCTAAATAATGTATTTGACAGCTTGACCTTTAAAAGTAAAACAGAAGAATTCAATACTGACTCCTTCGTATTGCCATTTTATTACCATCTTGATCCACCAAAGTAGTTTTGAAGATGTTTAGGACTGAACCCACTGATAAAGAAGAGGCTCTGTCCTCTGACTCCGTGCGACATCAGACATTATAAGCTGCCATCATCGACTAAGCTGAGCAGTTACTCTCTTTTCTCTCGAGTAGCACACAGCACACAGTCTGCTCGCAATGCGTTTGGACTAGTGGAAATGTAGACTGCATGGAGCCTTGAGGACGCAGGTCACAAGGCTCCATTGCCTCAGATGAAAGCATTTCTCGCTTATTAGTATTAGTGGTTTTTCTGTTTCGGTGAATGACAGAATCAATTTTAAATCAGTGCCTTACCAATGTTACCGTCTTTTTTAAAAACATTCTTACATGACCTCCGACAAATTTGTTTCTGAAAACACTAAAAATTTGGAAAATTTATCCTTGTGCGTGGCCGCACAGACAAGGTCCATTATGTTTTAGTTTTCCAATGATGTCATTCCTCATTGCAAACTCTTATAATCTCATGGTCTATAATTTAAAAAAAAACCCTGAAAAGCAGACAGTTAATGGATTCTGAATGTAAGCAGTCAATGCAAAGATTTTCATCAGTTTATTTCAGGTAATTTGAATTTCATCACAAACAATGTGACCTGTTCAATCACAAACTTACTGCAGACTGATTGCAGACTAAGTTTTACTTCATCTTGAGACACCAAAGCTGTTTTAAAGGTGGCAAATTTCCTCAAGTTGTCCCAGACCTGGTCTTTGTCAAGTTCATTGCACGCTGTTGCAGTAATTGCAGTAGTACCACAGTCTCCAACTACTTTTTCCTAGTGTGACTGTAGCACAAGGGGTCACCAGTTTTTCCATCAAGATGCACAGATGCTACATTTAAACCTTCAAATTTTAAAAGGGCTTGAACTGCGATGAAACGAAATCATAGTCAATGAATAGTCAATTAAAATTCAATCTGATTTGACCTTTTTTTAACAAGTCTACAGCTTATTAGGTTTGTAAAAAGCACATCAACATTATTCACTTACTAACACGTTAGACCTGTGTCTCTCTATCCTGTGCAGCTGACATAATTTCATGTCCGACCTAGCCACGAAAAAGCATAACAATGAGTCACCATCACTGCCTATGGGAAAATAACCATCTGCTCTTACTTGCACTTTGCAACTCTGGAATGTGATATTTGCATCATGTTTACTATGGCTGGGGCAAAACACAAAACAGGAGTAGAAGTATTTCCTTCTTTAAAAGCTTTGTTGGATAATTTGCTTTTAAGATGCTAACGAGCAACCGCAGAACAGAAGCGAAGCTGTTTCGTAGCAATCAGAAGAAATCAGGAGAGGCCGCTGCTCCCTCTGACAACATGATTACAGCAGTGTTTATGCACATTATGAAGCAGCTGTGAGTAAATGACTTAACAAGTTATTCATACTGCATTATGTTGCCATGCAGTGAATAAAAACTAAAAGCAAGGACAGGGATTAAACTGAGAAGTGATGTTTAGTAGAGGGATGTATCGCTACTACTAATACAACCGAAACTCTGTAAATACATCCAAACAAACTTGTTTCCACCATTTATAACACAGCACGTTCAGAAGAACGCTGATAAAAGTAATGAACCTGAGTTTAAATGTGCCCCACTGCAGGATTTAAAAGGTTTTTGTAATTATTATGCAATTATTAAAGCAATAATGACGTTATTACATCGCAGATGATGTATTTTGGTCTATCAGCCATTCCAAAAACAATATTTCTGTGCAATAAAGTACTTAACTACAACTATTTCTACTCAATGAATTATGTTCTGGATCACAAAGACCACACAAAACAAGAAAATAAACCGGCTATTACTCAGTGTCTTCCACTGTGACTAAGAAGTCGTGTACTGCTCAAGTGCTACCTGGAATTTCATGTCTCGACATGACAGCTTGCAGCCAACCGGCCCAGTTTACACAGAGCTATCTGATCTACCGACCTTTTATCTGAATCCAAGCAACATAGTCAAATGTCTGCCTGGTACGTGAAATTAAACATGAGTCAGTAGACTTTCTGTTAGACACAAACAAACCAAAGGCCAGATGGTTCAGTGTATAGTACCAGATGTTTAGCAAACATTTTAGCTGGTGTAACCTATGGTGTTGCCTACCTTATCTTGCATCAAATAATCCATCACATAATCCATATTTTGAGCTCGCAATCATGGAACTCCCAGTCAGCATGATTTCTGAGGCAACACTTGTGAATTTTGACAGTCAAAAGCTTAGCTTCCAGCTTAGCTGCTGCATGGGCTTGGCCTAGACCATTTCAGAGGGGGCCACTGAAAGTGTCTACCAACCCAGTGCTGGTGGATTTCATGAACTGAGCCAGCGCTTGCCGTTTGCCTTTAATGAAGTGGATTTATCAGAGTTTCGCCATCGAGAGAGGAAGCCTGCTGCGTCCATACCCTGTTGCAGATATTTTCAGAAACAGGCTTCCGGAAAGTGACGGCCCAGATCTCGACATAAATGGACTGGCCCTCCTGGCTTTTGCCCTGAAATACCAGATGGCCTGTCCCAGCCCAGGCTGATAAACACAATTATCATTCCAGCTCATTCTGAGTGCGAGTGATGAGTCTCCTGTGCTCCAAATCCTACATATAAATCACAGCAGCAGAGCCCTCCGTCAAACTTATAGCAACACTGTTGAGAGGTCATCTATGGTGAACGTGTGGAAACTAAGCTGTGAATCAAAAGTGTGAGAAGTTTGCGAAGAAGCGCGGTAGTGACTGTGCAGTGCCTTGTGTTTGCAGCAGGTCGTACCTGGACTTGCTCCCCCCGTACAGCTGTGTCGCCTAGCAGCGGCTCTGCAGGCGGCGTGTTAATCGTTACAGACTTCTCCGAGCGGCTGTCTTTGCTGCGCGACTTGTGCCGGTCCCGGCTTCGCTCTCTGAAAGAGAAAGTAAAAAGCAAAAATCACGATCAGTGCGCGCATTGTATGGTCTTTGCATTCCAATATAAATCGCCTTGAGGCGGCTGATGTTGTGATTTGGTGCTATAGAAATTAAACAGAATTGAATTACACAACAAGGAATTTGAAGACATTCCGGTTTTCTAGAATTCAAGTGCATGCAGAGTG